AAACAGATAAAAAACCCCCCCCCCCCCCCCCCCCGCCGGGCGGGAGCCGCCTGTAAGTGGAGATGCTCGGGGCGGCGGCGTGCTGGCGAGGGCCCAGGAGCTCACCCCGCGTACCTGCACCCGCCAGCAGGGAAGCAGAGCCGGAGATGGCTGGAGGGAGAGCGGGGCTGATAGTGTTACGGAGGCAGCGGGAGCCGGGTTTTTCCTCCCTGCGATCGTCCTGTGGCCCTGCCCCGGCCAGCAGGAAGCAGGATCCCGGAGAGAGCTGGGGAGGGATCTGGTCTTTGGACAGACGACGCTGGACCTGCCTTGTAAACATTAACAGGAGGCCGGAGATAGCTTGCGGTGCAGGGAGGGAAGCAAGAGCCCAGCTGTGCCCTGTTTCCTGCAGCTCCTTGCTCTTTCCGGGGGCTGCCCTGCCACAGGTTGGGGCCATACAGCCAGATTTGATACACTTCTGCCAGAGGATCACGATAGGGAAGGAGGCAATCCAGCTCGCTTCCCAGGACATGGCAGAGAGCTGTGCTCATCGCTAGACCCATTTATTCTGTTTTCGACCCAATGCGGTGCACAGACGCTTGGCCCAAGACATCCCAACTCGTATTAGCTTTCCCAGCCATCGTGGTACGAGCACGGTGGCACCAGCAGCCGGTCCTGGCAGGCTCCCCTACATTGTCACACTCTGAATGTGGCGGAGCAAGTCATTAAAAACAAAAGCCTCGGTGCCACTTGGCGACAGGGCTCCCAGCTCCAGAGGTAATTAGATCCTGGCTGTGCAAGGTAGCCGGGCAATTCAATGCAGTTAGAGGGCCATTTGCTTCCAAAACAAAGGCGGGGAGGAGACGCGGAGAATAATATTAGCCGCAAAACTCAGCTCCTCGATGGGACTGTGTCAGTGCCACATCCAGTCTGGCTGTTTTGAGACACCTTGCGGGTACCTGCCACACAGTGTCTACCTGTTACACTCACTCCCTGGGATATTAGAGATGCTAAGTGAGCACTGAGCAGAAGATAAATTGAGCAGTGAAACCTGTGTTCAGGCAGGCCACCAGCAAATGGGGCTTTTCACTTTGCCAGGGATTCCCCTCCATCTGCAGCCTGCCAGAGCCAGGACTCCCAGCTCACATGCCTCCCCGTGTCCCGAAGCACCCGGGACAAATCCCTACCTCTGAAGCAGCCCCCGTGGGGCTGGGGCAGTCAGAAAGGAAAGGCGAGCTCCCGCAGCCCCCCACCAGTGCCTCTGTGGTGCTGGCTGTGTGCCCCGGTAAGGGGGGAGAGATCCCTGACCCTGATCCCGGGGAGGGGAGCATCCAGGCTCAACCCCACCAGCGCAGGAGACATGCCTTTCCTCCTGATTGCTTTCAGATGAAGCCAGGGTACGGGTGTTATTTACCCAACCAGCCTCTCCATACCACCCCTAGGCCACCCAGGAGGAAGGACCTACAGCACACAGGTATAAATTAAGGCAGGGCAGCATCGAGCCCTCCTTAAAGCCCGTCCAGAAGAGTGGGTGACGCAGGCACAGGGCTCTTGCAGCAGGCTCTGCCCCCCCAGCAGCTCCCATGGGTGCTCAGGACCGATGGCTGGGGCAACCTCTGCTCCGTGGGGAGGTGCCCCCAGTTGCTGCGTATCCCCCCAAGGGCCCCACTCACCCTGCGGGGCTCCTCCAGGAGCGGGTCTGGCTGCCGTGCACCTGCATCCGCATCCCCTGCGCCCTCCTCCACCTGCACCCGCGGGAGACTCCTCCTCCGGGCACCCTCCCAGCCCTCCCGCCCGCTGGCAGCCAGCCCTGCCAGCGCCCCGCTCACCCTCGCTGCACCCCGGGCCCCACGGGAGCTGGAGCAGCAGGTTAGGCTTTGCCTCCTGCAGAAAAGCTACCCAACTTACCTTTCCAGTCCACCGCGTTCGGCACCCACGCCCGGAAAGCAAACACGGATGGGAAGCCACGGTGCAGCCCCACGCCGCTGCCCGCAGCCTGGCACACATCCAGCAGCTGTGGGTGAGAGCCCTGCCTGGGCGGCAAGGGCAGGTTTACCCGCAATTGGGAATTAATCCTTACCTGGAGGATGGCGATGACTAGAAGGCAGGTGGCCGGTGGTACTGGCAGACCTGTGAATGTTTTTTGGGGCAGGCCTTCTCCCTGGTTTACTGCAGAGCAGAGAGGAGCAAAGTCGAAGGACCAATTGCTCGTGGTCTAATTTATCACCTGTGGGAAGGCAGCAAGATAAGTCTGCCCTGGCTCCAAACATCAAACGGGAGAGATCTCCACATCCTTTCTTTACCTGCCACCCTGCGCAGACCTGGTGGCACACAGAGCCAGGAAATTAAGGTAGTTAACTCGTGGTTGGCTTTTAGGTAGTAACACTCAGGTCTCTGGGCCATCACGGTGGTATGCCACCATATCACCATGGTGGAAGATGCAATTTATATTCAATTTGCTAATTAATGTATGGTTTCCACAAGTTGCTGGAGCTATGGACACCATAAGAGCACCAGGATTTGGGAAATACATTGAATTTTGTGTCTGGAAATAATCCCTACTAGCAAACCAGGATCGACATTAACAAATTCCACATGCCTCTTGCAGCCCTCCTAGACAAAAAAAAAAAAAAAAAAGGGTGTAAAAGAGGGAAAATTTGGAGTTCTGACAGATGCAAATCTTTGATTCTTGGAAGCACAGTTCGGAAAATTATTTTTAGACAAAATTTCTTGTCAAGGGCAGCTGCAAGCCTGCAGTGTTTGGATGTACTTTTAAAAAAAAGTTTCATTTCTCATAATCCTTTAAATACTGTAAATAACCCTTACTTCAGAGAAAAGAGTCCTTTCGAAATGCATTTTCTGCTTTTCTACTTTCAGGGGATTTTTTTAGCAACCGAAATGACCCAGCAACTGGATCTACATGGGGCAGGCACAGGCTCTGTGCTGACACTGCTGATCCCAGCAGGTCTTAACACAGCACAAGTCTTCCCTGCCCAGAACCCAAGACCTGGCCTCTCTCTGCTCAGTCAAGTTCGTAACTGACAAAAGTGTGTAACAGCTCACTTAAAAATTTACTACTTGGTGTTATTTGTTACAAGACGAGGTAAAAACAAATGTGCTTTCCAAGCCGATGGCAAAAGTTTGGCTATTAAGCATTGCACCCACTCACGGAACTTCAGCCAACACTTTTTTTTGCAAGAGCCTCGAAGAAACACCCCTGGGTAACCCCCCAAACCCTTCTGCCCCCGCGTCTCCCCCAACAGGTGCTTTAGGAGAGGGACAGCTCGCTGCAGGTGGTCCAAGCTATGTATGTGCTGCCTCTCCAGTGTGCCGGTACCATGTAATCCATAAGCTGTTATTTTGTCTTTTTCTCACCACTAATTTGGGTTCCTGTCTTCCACCCTGACGTCAGCTTTCATGAAATTTGCAGAGCATAATTATCTGCCTCTCTTTAAAATCAGAGTGAAAGTGGAAATGGATTCAGACTACATCAGGAAAGGGACTGACATAAGGACAAA